TGTAGTTGAGAATGGAAATTTCAGAATCTTTGGTGGCCTTCCTAAGCCAGGATTCAGACACTGCTAGAACATCAGGGTTGGCTGAGTGTGCTAACGCAGTGAATAACTCAAACTTAGGGAGGAGGCTTCGGATGTTAACATGCAAGAAACCAAGGCTTTTGCGATTACAGAAGTCAACAAATGATAGCGCCTGGGTTAACCTCTACATCACCAGAGGAACAGAGTAGAATAAGGATACGGCTAAAGGCTTTAAGAACTGGTCTTCTAGTGCGTTGGGTACAGAGAAAAAAAGGGGCAGATTTCCGGGCGTTGTAGAATAGATTCAGGGCATTATGTACAGACAAGGATATGGAAGGATATGAGTACAGTGGAGGTAAACCTAAGCGTTGGGTAAAGATGAAAGAGATAGCATCACTGGAGGCACCGATTGAGCCGGTCTCCGCGTGTGTGGGGGGTGGGACAAAGGATCTATCTGAGACAGGTTGAGCAGGACTGGGGGCTCTACATTGAAAAAGTACAGTTAAAACTAACCGAAACAGCAATAGGCAAGGCATATTGACATGGGAGATAGGCATAAAGCAGTCACAGGTGTTATTTGAGAGAGCTAAGATAACAGCTGGTAATGGCGACGAAAGTTTGAGTTGAGGCTAAACAGATAAACAGGATGAGGTACCGTATAAAGGAACAGTCCAGCAGGCATCAGCTGTGTAGCTGAGTGATCATAAGGTCCAGTGAACAGCAATAAGTAAGTCCGGGAGCAGTTCAGTGGCTGCTACGCTACAGGCGAGCTGGAGGCACGGCTGTTGATTGCGTGTGCTAGCGGGCCGGGGCTAGCAGATGGATCTTCGTGGTCGTCGCAAAGGGAATCCTGTTGAAACCACATCAGACGATTACGTCGGCAGACCAGTTGTGATGGATCGGCGGGGCTCCGTGTCAACTCTAGGAGGTCCCGTCCGGTTGACAGAGAGGTAGATAGCCGGCAGATGGGCCTGGCTCGAGGCTAGCTCAAGGCTAACTGGGGTTAGCTTCAGGACAGTGGTGATTAGCCAACAACGACAACATCCATTCGGTTGCAGCTAGCTAGTTGCGATGATCCGGTGTTAAGGTCCAGTGATTCAGTGATTCCAGCAGAAAATCCGATATGCTCTGACTCGATAGCGCGATGTGCAGACTGTGCAGACTGGCCAATAATTGTCCAGGCTAGAGCTGGTTGGTAGGTAGTGCAGGCCACGGCCACGGCCACGGACAATGGTGAAGACCGCTAACGGTGGCTAATAGCAAGTAGCTAGTTAGCTGGCTAGCTGGCTAGTTTCAGCCAGAGGTTCTGGATAAAAATGTACGAAGAAATAATATAATCCGTTCCACATTGGGTGAGGCGGGTTGCAAGAAAGTATATTTAGTTAAAGGATGGAAAGTGAGATTGAGAAATATATACGAAAAATACAAAAAAACAAAAAACTGGCTATTTACATGAGGACACTACAGAAAACACGACCGCACTGCTATGCCATCTTGGAAGTCTTCAGGGTTGAGGTTAGAGTCTGTCTTTCTGCCTGAATATCCTTTTGCATTGAATGCAATGTATTGACTTGTGTCAATTCTCTTGACGCATATCTACAGTACCAGTCAAAAGTTTGGACACACCTACTCATTCCAGGGTTTTTCTTTATTTTTACTATTTTCTACATTGTAGAATAATAGTGAAGACATCCAAACTATGAAATAACACATATGGAATCATGTAGTAACCAAAAACGTGTTAAACGAATCAAAATATATATATATATATATATATATATATACAGTGGGGAGAACAAGTATTTGATACACTGCCGATTTTGCAGGTTTTCCTACTTACAAAGCATGTAGACGTCTGTAATTTTTATCATAGGTACACTTCAACTGTGAGAGATGGAATCTAAAACAAAAATCCTGAAAATCACATTGCATGATTTTTAAGTAATTAATTTGCATTTTATTGCATGACATAAGTATTTGATACATCAGAAAAGCAGAACTTAATATTTGGTACAGAAACCTTTGTTTGCAATTACAGAGATCATACGTTTCCTGTAGGTCTTGACCAGGTTTGCACACACTGCAGCAGGGATTTTGGCCCACTCCTCCATACAGACCTTCTCCAGATCCTTCAGGTTTCGGGGCTGTCGCTGGGCAATACGGACTTTCAGCTCCCTCCAAAGATTTTCTATTGGGTTCAGGTCTGGAGACTGGCTAGCCCACTCCAGGACCTTGAGATGCTTCTTATGGAGCCACTCATTAGTTGCCCTGGCTGTGTGTTTCGGATCGTTGTCACGCTGGAAGACCCAGCCACGACCCATCTTCAATGCTCTTACTCAGGGAAGGAGGTTGTTGGCCAAGATCTCGCGATACATGGCCCCATCCATCCTCCCCTCAAAACGGTGCAGTCGTCCTGTCCCCTTTGCAGAAAAGCATCCCCAAAGAATGATGTTTCCACCTCCATGCTTCACGGTTGGGATGGTGTTCTTGGGGTTGTACTCATCCTTCTTCTTCCTCCAAACACGGCGAGTGGAGTTTAGACCAAAAAGCTCTATTTTTGTTTCATCAGACCACATGACCTTCTCCCATTCCTCCTCTGGATCATCCAGATGGTCATTGGCAAACTTCAGACGGGCCTGGACATGCGCTGGCTTGAGCAGGGGGACCTTGCGTGCGCTGCAGGATTTTAATCAATGACGGCGTAGTGTGTTACTAATGGTTTTCTTTGAGACTGTGGTCCCAGCTCTCTTCAGGTCATTGACCAGGTCCTGCCGTGTAGTTCTGGGCTGATCCCTCACCTTCCTCATGATCATTGATGCCCCACGAGGTGAGATCTTGCATGGAGCCCCAGACCGAGGGTGATTGACCGTCATCTTGAACTTCTTCCATTTTCTAATAATTGCGCCAACAGTTGTTGCCTTCTCACCAAGCTGCTTGCCTATTGTCCTGTAGCCCATCTCAGCCTTGTGCAGGTTTACCATTTTATCCCTGATGTCCTTACACAGCTCTCTGGTCTTGGCCATTGTGGAGAGGTTGGAGTCTGTTTGATTGAGTGTGTGGACATGTGTATTTTATACAGGTAACGAGTTCAAACAGGTGCAGTTAATACAGGTAATGAGTGGAGAACAGGAGGGCTTCTTATAGAAAAACTAACAGGTCTGTGAGAGCCGGAATTCTTACTGGTTGGTAGGTGATCAAATACTTATGTCATGCAATAAAATGCAAATTACTTAAAAATCATACAATGTGATTTTCTGGATTTTTGTTTTAGATTCCGTCTCTCACAGTTGAAGTGTACCTATGATAAAAATTACAGACGTCTACATGCTTTGTAAGTAGGAAAACCTGCAAAATCGGCAGTGTATCAAATATTTGTTCTCCCCACTGTATTTGAGATTCTTCAAAATAGCCACCCTTTGCCTTGATGAAAGCTTTGCACACTCTTGGCATTCTCTCAATCAGCTTCATGAGGTAGTCACCAGCAATGCATTTCAATTAACAGGTGTGCCTTGTTAAAAGTTAATTTGTGGAGTTTCTTTCCTTCTTAATGCGTTTGAGCCAATCAGTTGTGTTGTGACAAGGTAGGGGTGGTATACAGAAGATAGCCCTATTTGGTAAAAGACCAAGTCCATATTATGTCAAGAACAGCTCAAATAAGCAAAGAGAAATGACAGTCCATCATTACTTTAAGACATGAAGGTCAGTCAATCCGGAAAATGTCAAGAACTCGCAAAAACCATCAAGCGCTATGATGAAACTGGCTCTCATGAGGACCGCCACAGGAAAGGAAGACCCAGAGTTACCTCTGCTGCAGAGGATAAGTTCATTAGAGTTACCAGCCTCAGAAATTGCAGCCCAAATAAATGCAGAGTTCAAGTAACAGACACATCTCAACATTAACTGTTCAGAGGAGACTGCGTGAATCAGGCCTTCATGGTCGAATTGCTGCAAAGAAACCACTACTAAAGGACACCAATAAGAAGAAGAGACTTGCTTGGGCCAAGAAACACATGCAATGAACAATAGAGTGGTGGAAATCTGTCCTTTGTTCTGATGAGTCCAAATGTGAGATTTCTGGTTCCAACCACCATGTCTATGTGAGACGCAGAGTACAGTGGCTTGCGAAAGTATTCACCCCCTTGGCATTTTTCCTATTTTGGTGCCTTACAACCTGGAATTAAATTGATTTTTGGCGGGTTTGTATCATTTGATTTACACAACATTCCTACCACTTTGAAGATGCAAAATATTTTTTGGGGTGAAACAAAAAAGAAATAAGACAAAAAAACAGAACTTGAGCGTGCATAACTATTCAGAGTGAAGGAAAAGCAGCCAACAAGTCCTCAACATATGTGGGAACTCCTTCAAGACTGTTGGAAAAGCATTCCTCATGAAGCTGGTTGAGAGAATGCCAAGAGTGTGCAAAGCTGTCATCTAGGCAAAGGGTGGCTACTTGAAGAATCTCAAATATCAAATATTTTGATTTGTTTAACACTTTTTTGGTTACTACATGATTCCATATGTGTTATTTCATAGTTTTGATGTCTTCACTATTATTATACAATGTAGAAAATAGTAAAAATAAAGAAAAACCCTTGTGTGTCCAAACTTTTGACTGGTATTGTATGCTTCAATATCATGTCTGTGGTGGAAGAGAGGAGAAAGAGGTGGAGATGGGAAAGAGAAAGACAGATGAGAGTGGAGAGGAGAGAGGGAGATGGTGTTGGAGGGAGGGGAGAGAGAGTGAGGAGGGAGAGATGGATGAGAGGGGGTTAGGGAGGGAAACAAGCAGGGAGAGAGAGGAAGGAGGAAGGATTATCCCATATAGCTAACAAATGAATAAAGCATTCTGTACACACAACACTATACATCTGAACTATTTTCTCCTTCCATTGATTGATGAGACATTTATTAAACTTAAGTGGAGTCTTGAGTAACTCTCCTCCGGTCTGTTCCTTCTTTCCTGTCTCCAGTCCTACGCCATGTCTCTGCCGCGTATGCTGGGCGAGCTGCAGCTGTACCGTGTGCTGCAGAGGGCCAACCTGCTGGCCTACTACGACACCTTCATCCAGCAGGGTGGCGACGACTTGCAGCAGCTCTGTGAGGCTGCAGAGGACGAGTTCCTGGAGATCATGGCGCTGGTCGGCATGGCAACCAAGCCACTGCACGTGCGCCGTCTGCAGAAGGCCCTCCGCGACTGGGCAGCCAACCCGGCCCTCTTCAACCAGCCCCTGGCCAACGTGCCGCTGGGCGGCATCCCGCTGTTCAAGGTGGACGGGATTGGTGCCAGCGGGACCGCCGCCGGAGGACCCAGGAAGTCCCTGAGCAACGGGCAGCCGGGGTCGCCGTTCGACAGGGAATGCCTCACCCCTATGCACAGCGGGAGCCCCAGAAGCCCCTGCTCCCAGGCCTCACCACAGCGCCCGGACACTCACTACAGGGACAAGCTGTCCCCAATGAACCCCCACTGGCTCAGCCCAGAGCCGGACGGGAACAGTGCCTCGGCCTCAGCCTCAGGGATGGACGAGGAGCAGCCCAGCCCACCTCTGCTCCCCCCTCGTACACAAGGTCCCTCCACGCCCCCGGCCTCCTCCTCCCTCTCCCTGGTGGTCCTCTCAGCCTGGCCTGGGGGCCAGCTGGATGGGGAGACAGCACTGGCAGTGGGGGAGAGCGTTGACAGGCTCCTGAGGACCCTGCCCAGGTCGGACCCCAGAGAGGTGAAGACACTGCTTAGGATGAACAAGAAGATGGCCAAGACGGTGGGCCACATCTTCAAGATGGCACCCCAGGAGATGGTCAAGGAGGAGGAGATCCGCAAGTACAGCATCATCTACGGCCGCTTCGACTCCAAGAGGAGGGAGGGCAAGCAGCTCACACATCACGAGGTGAGGGCATCAGTGTTTCCACTACTAGAGTTATCTGTGGACTAGTATATGTGTGAGGCTTGAGCCTTCCCACTGGGCACAGATGTTAGTTCAACGTCTAGTTTTGATTTGTGAAGTAACCTGAATTCAACGTGAAATCAAAAAAAAAAGTCACGTCATTGGATTTAGGTTAAAAGTTGGGTGAAAAAAACACGAAATTCCCTTACTTTGATGACTTTTTTCAAACCCAATCAGTTTTCCACTTTGCTTCAACGTCATCACATTGAATTGTTTTGTTCAAATGACCTGGAAACAACGTGGATTCAACCAGTTTTTGCCCAGTGGGTTGTCTTTTTTAAAATCATAGTGTTCATATCATTCTAATGTACACTCTTTCCCCTCTCACCTTATTTGATGTGCTCCTCATGTTCAGCTGATCATCAACGAAGCGGCCGCCCAGTTCTGTATGCGTGACAACGCTCTGCTTCTGCGACGGGTAGAGCTCTTCTCATTGGCTAGACAGGTGGCGAGAGAATGCGCCTACACCTCCACACTCAAGCATGCCAGGTAAGGGCACGAGCTTCCATAGTTTAGGGGCTTCCCCACCCCCGTCTGATGACCTTCCCACCCTCTCACCTTCTGTCTCTTCCGCCCTGGTCAAAAGTAGTGCACTACATACAGATGTAGGATCTTAATCTGATCACTCTTTTGTTGCTGAGAATTTTCCCGCACAGCAGAAAAAGTAAACTTTTAGTTTATTTGAGTTTTAAAAAGGCTTCTAAAGTTAGTAATTTCCAATTTCTGACTTGATCTGCCCCAATGAAAAATGAATCAACCCCTACATTTACATTTACATTCTTGTCATTTAGCAGACGCGCTTATCCAGAGCGACTTACAGTTAGTGAGTGCATACATTTTTCATACTGGCCCCCTGTGGGAATCGAACCCACAACCCTGGCGTTGCAAGCGCCATGCTCTACCAACTGAGCTACATTCATTAAAATCCACATAATAATTCACATTTCCTGTTGCTGCAGGATTATTTTTCTGCTGAAGCAAACTGTCTCAAATTAAGATCCTACATCTATAGGGAATAGGGTGCCATTTGGGACACAGACAAGGAAACCCAAATATAGAGAGACTTATGATATGAGAAATGAAAATATTTTATGTTCTGCTTTGCCTTGAAAATATATTATGTCCTGTTCTCAACCAGATATGAGCATAGAGAAACTACTATGTGGTTGCAGGCAGCATAGGGGCGAAGAGAGATGGATGTCTAGAACAGAGGGAAAGCTGGGAACTCCCACAGCACACATAGCTAAGCCTGTTTTTTCTGGATTTTTGTTGTTGTTATTCTGTCTCTCACTGTTCAAATAAACCTACCATTAAAATTATAGACTGATCATGTCTTTGTCAGTTGGCAAACATACAAAATCAGCAGGGGATCAAATACTTTTTTCCCTCACTGTAAGCTTTTTGTGCGTATGGAACATTTTTGGGATATTTTATTTCGGCTCATGATACATGTGACCAACACTTTACATGTTGCGTTTATATTTTTATTCAGTATATTTTAATTGAATATAGTGAGCTACTACTCGCTAATGAACAAACAGACAGTAGGACCAACTGAATCCTGGAGTTTGCACAAGAGGATTGCTCTTCTTTCACTTTCTTATTATCTATTTATCTTATTACAGAACAAATGCAGGAGACTGCAGCTTACCACCCCAAAAGAGAGTGAAACATGATGTGAGTGGGCTAAAATCTCTAAACCCCTAACAAGAAAGATTAAAACTATACCAAACTCTCTCTCACTCTGTTTAAATTAGTTAGTGAGTGTACAAAAGCTGTTTTGTCAATGTAATATTGGTACCATATTGAACCATACAGCATTGGTAGACAATGAATAAGCTGTAATTAGAATAAATCAATGAAATTGCAATAATTCATATACTGTAATTTATACCATGGCTACATTTTAATCAGTCCTATACTATATATCAATTTGTACCATTAGTACATTTCAGTAGTAATTGCATTGTAACACACACAATATGACATTTTGGTGTGTGTTTCAGGTGATAGTGTCAGAGTGTGTGTCCTCCCTCCATGGTGTGGAGGGGTCAGAGGGCGTGTCCCAGAGGGCTGATGAGGACAGCTTATCAGGAGAGAGTCTGGACAGCTTAACACAAGGTACTACATACAGTGTCCAGATCCAAATATATTTTCTTTAACACTAGCATGTACAGTACCAGTCAAAAGTTTGGACACACCTACTCAAGGGTGTTTCTTAATTTTTACTATTTTCTACATTGTAGAATAATAGTGAAGACATCAAAACTATGAAATAACACATATGGAATCATGTAGTAACCCAAAAAGTGATTATTCAAAGTAGCCACCCTTTGCCTTGATGACAGCTTTGCACACTCTTGGCATTCTCTCAACCAGCATCATGAGGTAGTCACCTGGAATGCATTTCAATTAACAGGTGTGCCTTGTTAAAAGTTAATTTGTGGAATTTCTTTCCTTCTTAATGCGTTTGAGCCAATCAGTTGTGTTGTGACAAGGTAGGGGTGGTATACAGAATATAGCCCTATTTGGTAAAATACCAAGTCCATATTATGGCAAGAACATCTAAAATAATCAAAGAGAAATGATAGTCCATCATTACTTTAAGACATTAAGGTCAGTCAATCCGGAAAATTTCAAGAACTTTTAAAGTTTCTTCAAGTGCAGTCGCTATGATGAAATTGTCTCTCATGAGGACCGCCACAGGAAAGGAAGACCCAGAGTTACCTCTGCTGCAGATGATAAATTCATTAGAGTTAACTGCACCTCAGATTGCAGCCCAAATAAATGCTTCACAGAGTTCAAGTAACAGACACATCTCAACATCAACTGTTCAGAGGAGACTGCGTGAATCAGGCCCTCATGGTCGAATTGCTGCAAAGAAACCACTACTAAAGGACACCAATAAGAAGAAGAGACTTGGTTGGGCCAAGAAACACGAGCAATGGACATTAGACCGGTGGAAATCTGTCCTTTGGTCTGATGAGTCCAAATTTGAGATTTGTGTTTAACACTTTTTTGGTTACTACATAACTCCATATGTGTTATTTCATAGTTTTGATGTCTTCACTATTATTCTACAATGTAGAAAATAGTAAAAATAAAGAAAAACCCTTGAATGAGTAGGTGTGTCTAAACTTTTGACTGGTACTGTATATACAGTAATTGTTGAACACATTTAGTGCTGATCTTGTACAGTAAGTGTCACTTAATCATATTTCATTCCCAGACATTCTTTATGTGTTTCTGTAAATGTCACAGAGCCCCACTGACTCCAAAGCACCATTGATAATGAAGCCCAAATAGTTTCTGTAGTGTCAGGTTATGTCCCAAATGGTACCCTATTCCCTATTACATCAGGAATAGGGTGCCATTCTTGACGCAGCCTCAATCTTGTCAAGACTGTCTTGTCATTCACACCTAACCCTGTCTGTCCTAATAGACGTAGGCTCACAGTGCAACCAATCTCCATCCCCCCGCCCCCCCACCGACACCGCCATCCCTGCCAACTGGAGTCGCCATCTCATGCAACAAACGCTCATGGATGAGGGGCTGCGATTGGCTACGATGGTGTCACATGACCGCGCTGGCAAGATCAGCCTTAGGTCAGAGGGGACATATACCACAGGTGACTTTCTGAACAATGGCTTACAAACATTCTCATTCTCATCTTTTTCAGGCCTAAAAAGTGGTGTTATGTTGAGACGAGTCCGTCCCACAACATTTGTTGTGTAGATTTGGCTACATGTCTCAATCTCAAATGAATAGGAAAGATAGGCATTGTCTCATTTCATCATTTTTAAACGGTGCCTATCATTCCCATTCATTTGAATTTGAGACATACAGCAGAATCGAGCTAAATCAACGCAACAAATGTTGTGGGACATTGACTTCTCCTGATATTAAACCACTTTCAAGGTCTGAAAACATTGGACAAACTTAGATTTTGAAGTGAATTATCACTTTAACATACTGTCCCTGTAGCCAGTATTGTTGTCTAGGGTGATGCCTCCCACTATCCAGAGCTGTTTCACTAGCTGGGACTGGAGAAGAGAAAAAGGAGAAAAATTAGTTGGGGGATAGAGAGGGGAGGCTGAGGAGGGACCTTTCAGCTACAATTTAGATTAGAAAACCATACTGAAAGTTGACATGGATGTCAGTACAGTCAAATTGCCATGAGGTCTTGTAGCATACGTTAATAATAGTGACACTTAAACTGATTGTACTTAACCCTTTCCCCTGTCACATCTTATCATGCATCATTACAATGTAAAGGTGAAGCCATTCAGATGTTAATAAAGCTACTGTGCCGTAGCACTGGGCTGTCACAGTAGGCAGGGTGGAGAAGATACAGGGAGATAGAGAGAGAGTGGGAGAGAAAGAGTGGGAGATAGAAAGAGAGAGAATAATGGTGGGGGGGGCAGAGGAAGGGCTGTGGAGGCGGTAGAAACGGAACCCCCCCTCACCAGCTGACGTCACATTGTGTTAGGCGTGTGGGCTGAAGGGCGGGATGGATTGAGAAAGGGGGCTAACGAGTGGGCGGTAATTGGAGTGGCGTTGCATTGACTCACCAGGCGACAGAGAACAAAAATAAAAACCTGTGGGCAGGGAAATGGCACAGGCTTTTTTTTTTCTACCTCTTCCTCGACTTCTTAAGTAAAGGGGATAAACAACCAAAATGACATGTTTCATCTCTCTATGACGTCGGTCTCCCTCTCGCTTCCCCTCCGTCGTCCATTGTTCTTCTCACTCACCCTGGTTTCCTTCTCCTTTTCTGTCACACTCACTCAACGCAACACGACTTGTCTTCTCTGACTGTACTGACTCCATCTACAGTATTATCCTATTAGCCTATAAGTGGGTTCACATTCTGTCAGACAAAACCAATCTACTATACATTAATTGGTGTACAGTTGACTATATCAATCACTCAAAGGTTCAGGGGGAGTAATAATGTATTGTCATCATATTGTCTCAGTCGGCCATATAGGCTAACAGCCCTTATCGTTCCTCTTCCAGACTTTGAGGTCAAGGTGGAGAGGAGGAGCTCAGTAGCAGTGTGCAGCAGCAGCAGCCCTGGCAGCACCAAAGATGACTCGGACCGCAGGGGAAAGTAGTGAAACCAACCACTCATCATCCTGAGAACCCATCAACAACCCTGCCTCTCAGCTTCACTCAGATCCTGGAGGGTACAACTCAGCAGGCTTTCCATCCGTACTTAAACCATTGACACTTGGCAGTACTGGGGAGGGGAGGTGGAATTAATCATTCCAATCTAAATCAATTTTGCATCCCAGATGACCCTCAATTCACTACATAGTGCACTACATTTGATCAGAACCCTGGTAAAAAGCAGTGCATTATATAGGGAATATGGTGCTATTTGGGCTGAATCGGGTGGTTCAGGGAGAGGGAAAGCATCATAAACCTGCTAAATCTACGGCCCTCCAGTACTGAAATGGAGGGACAGGCACTCTACAACTTTACCTCTGTTTATAGTGTGCCCAAAACCTCCAAACAGCCCTGCGAGGCCATTAGCCACATGCATCCACAGGGCTACGGTAACACTTACACAACTGTAGGAGGTTTGTCACACACTGATGTGACAATGTCTCAGTTTGCCCACTTTGAACATAATCCCAATAATACCCTCATCCCCCACCCCGCCCCAGGACAATGGATGCAAAATGTTGATATCATGACTAACTTTTGGTGCTATTTTCGTTCTGTTGATACAAGGTTGTCACTGAGAAAGGACTTGTGATTAGGATAAGTATCTGTTATGACACTGTCGTTAAAGATTGGTTTTACAAAGTGTCACTAATTTGAGTGTTGACCGTTTGATAGTTAGATGATAAAGGGAAAATGTGTACAGAGAAGATAATCAGGTTCAAAGGCCTTTTTCTCCCAATACTGCAGCAACTGTCACTGACACCCACTGAGATGTTAATTTATAGGGGTGGGTTTGGATGTTAATATGTTAACACTATTGAGCCTTTATATTTGTTGGTGAACTCAACATTCTTTGATTTAACTTAATAAGGCTTAAACAAGCAACAATAATTTACAAGCACCAATAACAATTTGCATAACTCGAGGCAAGTTAACAATTGCAAGAATGGTCTTCTCCCAATGTTATTTTTTTAATACAGTATGTATGTCGTATCAAACACTAAATTCTTTAACTATGGAGTTTTTTTGGTAAGAATACATCGTCAGATGTTACTGGGTATGAATGTTTAAAAGAAAGGTGTTTGGATAGTTAGGAAATCAGGGAGAATCCAGGACATTACATTTTCTGCATCCGAAAAAGCCCCCTATTTCCTATATAATGCACTACTTTTGAACAAGGCCCACCTCTGGTCAAAGGTGGTGCACTATATAGGAAATAGGGTGCAATTTGGGATGGACACATTATTTCCATGAAGTACCTAAACTGTAACCTCCTGCCTCACAAGCATTAAACAACCTCCTCAATTTGTTATGATGAACAGCAGATTATTTATTTTGTTAAATCTCAATAAATGTTATTTTATTGTTGAAAAATTGTTGTGGCCCCATCTGTTGCACTCCTTGTGAGGAAATCCATCCACTCCATCTGTTGCACTCCTTGTGAGGAGCATAAGTGTCAAATGTACGATAAGGCTGAAGAATCCTGCGTCATTCGAATGCTCCAGTAATTCTAGAACGAATAGAAAAGCACTAGGTCCAAACAGTCATATTCCCACTATCCCCGCACTATCACCACCACCATCATCACCGCCCCTGCTCCGTCAAGTTGTTTGTTCCTTCCCGTTCAAAGCTAACATGACTGTATTTGTGATGTCACCTGCCTCAAATCCATGTGAGTCTGCCCCCCCCCCCCCCCCCCCCCCCCCCCCCCCCCCCCCCCCCCCCAAGCATCATAATGAGAGAGCAGACGAAATATAGCGAGATATAGCTGCCAACTTGGTGGCTCGTTGAGGAGTTCTGCTGTGTACTTTTGCATCGCTGCTCTGAATGTGAAAGACCCAGGTTGTATCCCTAATAGCACCCTACTACTTTTGACCAGGGCCCATTTGGGTAGTGCACTATATCAGATATATAATGCCATTTGACACATCCCAAACACAAATGACTGATCACTGTGACAACTATGGCAACATAATAAGCTTCATGTTCCAAAAAAGAAATACATCATCTTTTCAAACTATAAAAACTACATAAATACACGAAGAGACAATATCAAATGTATTATTTGAAGTTAATTGGCCAAATGTATTAATAAATTCAGCTCTACATTCAACAGAGAATCATGACAGACATTTTACCTACATAGCGTCCGTGTCGGATGAAAACCTCTTATCTCCAAAACAATAAACAGCCATACTTTACCATTAACGAACATACAATTAAGAAACTTCAGAAGCTATTTTGATAACATTTTCTTGGCTCTAGAGTCGTGAAATGTTCAGAGTACATTGAGGGGAGATACTGCTTTCAATGCATGCAAAATAAGAAAATTGGCAAAAATTGAATATTTATTTATATACACTGCCTTTGGAAAGTATTCAGACCCCTTGACTTTTTCCACATTTTGTTACGTTACAGCCTTATTCTAAAATTGAGTAAATTGTTTCCCCCCCCTCATCAATCTACACACAATACCCCATCATTTTCTGCTAATTTATTAAAAATAAAAAACGGAAATATCACAGAGCGACTTACAAAAAACAGTACTAGTAATAACGAGATAACTGAGACAAATCCCATGATGTAGCCTACCGTATGTTGTTACTGCCCTCTAGTGCTATAAGAAAACAGTGGTACTTCATAAGCGGTATATGTAAATTCCTCAGTTTCATAGAAAACCGACTGTATAATCAATACATATACCGATCAATAACACATTTCTTGGGAAAACTGAAGCAAATCTCATAAATGGTCTAGGTGATGTGTTTTAACAACGTTATGGGGGAAACCACTACTCTAGGTGATGCAGAAACAATGTTATGGGGAATAGGGTTTTAGATTATGTGTGTGGAGATGTTATGGGGGAACCAGTGTTGTAGACGATGTGTATGTGTGGAGGTGGTGCAGGGAAGCAGTGTTCTACGTCAGTGGTTCCCAATCTTTTTCGGTTACTGTAACGCCAACAGTGTTTTGCTCTGCCCGGAGTACCCCTCATGTGCATTTTACCAGTAAGCCTATGGTCTCATGGGTCTTCTCAAGTACCCCCTGTGGATAGGTCAAGTATCCCCAGGGGTCCTAGTACCACTGGTTGGGAACTAATGTTCTAGGTGATGTGTGTGTGGAGGTGGCACATGAAGTCCCCCCTGGTGGTGGTGTGGCCGGGGAACACAGCATTGCAGAAGTCACACACCTGAGACTGCAGCGCCACCTCTGACATCAGCATCATCCCCCCGGTCTGGCTCAGAAACTCACTGTCCAGGAAGGAGCCACACGCCGAGGGCATCTGAGCAGCAGGGGGAGTGGAGAGAGGTTTGAGGGGAGGCACAGGGACGGGGGGAGGGAGAGGACAAACAGATGCTTAATGACATGACTAGTAAAAAATTTAAAAAATACAATTAATTCAAGGGGAGAAACCTACCCTGAACATTTGTCGGGTCTTATCATCACCCCGAAATCGACCTGCTTGCTTCGAGTCCCCAGAGACACTGGAGGGTGCCATCTCTACATTACCCCCAGGTAGGTCCAGAGGCCCGAGGGGGGTGGCTTTGAGGACCTCCTTCCTTTCTGTCCCTGGATGAGCGAAGTCCAGCCGTAGTCTGCCCAAATCCCCTGCCAGGAGATTAGCGAGTGACCCCACGGCCCCAGATGGGCCTATAATGTCATGGGGTGCAGCAGGGTTGTGTGTTGGGACCATTGATGCCTGGGTGCACTGGACTGGGATTGATGCCATTACGCTGGGGTCTCCGTCAGGAACAGGGGCTCCTCCTAAGGAAGGAACCAGCATTTATAAGTCTGTCAAACATCTTGAATGTCTTGTAAGTCGCTCTGGATAAGAGCGTCTGCTAAATGACTAAAATGTAAATGTAGCCTACTAGATTAATTGATATTGTATACAGTACCAGTCAAAAGTTTGGACACACCCACTCATTCAAGGATTTTTCTTTATTTTTACTATTTTCTGCATTGTAGAATAATAGTGAAGACATCAAAACTATGAAATAACACATATGGAATCAGGTAGTAACCAAAAACAGTGTTAAACAAATCAAAATATATTTTATATTTGAGATTCTTCAAATAGCCACCCTTTGCCTTGATGACAGCTTTGCACACTCTTGGCATTCTCTCAACCAGCTTCATGGAATGCATTTCAATTAACAGGTGTACCTTGTTAAAAGTTAATTTGTGGAATTTATTTCCTTCTCAATGTGTTTGAGCCAAATCAGTTATGTTGTGACAAGGTAGGGTTGGTATACAGAAGATAGCCCTGTTTAGTAAAAGACCAAGTCCATATTATGGCAAGAACAGCTCAAATAAGCAAAGAGAAACGACAGTCCATCATTACTTTAAGACATGAAGGTCTTTCGGCACTCATCGTAACACAATGATAAGAACCTGCAGAAGAGACATGGCATGAGAAGTATATAACTTTTGGTAATATAACAAGGAGATGGGAGTGACCTTGCTGTGTCCTCAGTGTCTCTGTGAGTTGCTTGAGTAAAGAAGCCTGCTTCAGACACAGCAAGCGCAGTTGGAGGAACTCCCTGTACAGCTCTGTGTACGCCTCCTCCATCTCAGGAGCACAGGGATCTTTACAAAGCCATCTGAAAAGAGACCCGTACATTACAATGTACATGAAAAATTATGCTCCAGTCCGAAAAATAAAATGTTGAGGATGGTCTTCTGCTCCTGTCATTGTAACATGCTATAGCTTTGTAAAGCTATAGCATGTTATGCTATTGTCAGCAATGATTTATGTCTAGTTTCCCTCCCTCAAATTGAGTCTAAAGAAGGAAGTGATAAGAAAAAGGGAACCAAGTCGATGGGAGAGAATGGAGCCCTATCATACAAAACACATCTGTGGAGTTTCTTTATGCGCAAAGTCAAATACATAGACATTAGTGAACACTTTTAATAATACCTGGCTCTAAATGTATTTCAAACACCTTTGTTTTCAGACATAATTTGTCTTTTTCAAGAGGCATATTCTATTCGATTTGTGACAAGAATTGTAAACTGTACATGCACTCTAACTTTCTACAAGGAACTCAAACACTTCATATAAAACAGAAAGCACTACTAACACATTCATAACACACCAGGAAAACACAGGCAATGTCATTACATGTGCATGTCTTGTACAGGCTTTCTATATGTTTAAAGTTCCATACATGTTGAAGTGTATAGGACTTTGTGATGATCTATTAAGAGTTGTATTTGGAAACCTGCATATGCTATGTTCTGTCATTACATTTAAAATGGCCAACTGTAATTGTTGAAAACAAGCACATGTTCTCCTACCTTCAGACGTTTTCACTGATTGAATCTACTGTACACGAAGTTGAGATAAGGTCAACTCTGGGCTAATTTTGGTCCAGGCATTTTAAAGACGTGAACACCATGTTGAACACTCTTAAACTTACAAAGGTGAAGATTAATATAACTTACGACCTTGTATGATCTTTCCCAATGACACGACGGGATATCACTTTGAACACGCTTTCATATCTTCCATATATTGAGAAGAGGCAGAGAGGACTAGTCCAACCGTTGATTGTAGCCTACACGACGGGATATCACTTTGAACACGCTTTCATATCTTCCATATATTGAGAAGAGGCAGAGAGGACTTGTCCTACCATTGATTGTAGCCTACCTGTGAAACAAAATTACCGAAACAGGAACTGGAAATGTTGTTCTTACCTAATGCCATTATAACCGGGTCAACTGTTGAACTTTCAATAAGGAGTACAACAGAAAAGTTGAGTTGTTTCCGGGAAAAATTGCTGAGCTTTGGAGCAATACTTAACACTGTTGATCTCTTAGTTCGTGAATCAAGGATTTAAAGTTGACAGATTGATCAGCACAGATGCAGACAAAAGGTTATACATTTCATAGTGTCATATACACATGAAGTAGCACTCAATTTCTTAGGATTTTTTTGGTCCATGATTAGAACCTTTATATAGGTAAAACAAAAAATTAACCTGCATCTTTTGGTTGCAATATGGTTTCCAGTGGTATGCTTTTATGTAAAATAAAATAAGGTATATAATACATATCCTTACAGACTTGTGTTTTGACCGGACAGACCCTTGATCATTTTACAACGCACCATACTTACAAAGTTAAGTAGTTAACTAATGAAGTGACGCTTACAAAATATCCCATTCTATCTCCACTCCACATACAGCCCCACAACAGGACATTTTGGAAAAGTGTGTTTCAAGTTAATTTTACAAGTACAGTGATATGCTTTTCTTGCAAACTCAAAACCCAACGAAGCAATAATCAATAACAATGTATAGCTAGAAAAAAAACACGAGACATAAGAATAAGAAATACGCAATAAAGTAAGTAAGCATACTACATACAGGAAATATTTAAAAAGTCAGTTCAAATACCATATTTACATGTGCAAGGATACTGGAGTGATGGAGGTAGATATGTATAGGGGTAAGGGGAGACTAGGCAAAAGGATAAGATAAATAGAGTAGCAGCAGCTTGTATGTGAGTGGGTGTGCAGGTGTGTAGTCAGTATAAATGTATGTGCATATTATGTGTGAGCAAGAAAATGATGGAGTGTGTGTTTGTGTGTGTGTTGGAGTGAGTGTGTGTGAGTGTATAGGGCACTGAGTTTGCATGGAGACAGTGCAAAGATTGAAATAAAAGGTCAATAAAGATACAAGGCTAACTCAGATAGCTAACAAAATAGCTACACAGGCTATTTATCAGTCATATTGCTTGGGGATAGAAGCTGTTCAAGAGCCTGTTGGTGTCAGACTTGATGCAACGGTTCCTCTTGCTGTGCAGCAGCAGATAAAATAGTCTATTGTGAGAGAGCTTGTGTGTGTACGTACGTGTGATGTCTCATGACTTGTGTGCACAGTGGAATGGATTAAGACATACAGCACAGTAACAGTCAAAGCCATCCATGCACTGACTCATTGATTCTCCACGTTAACATTTACATTTTAGTCATTTAGCAGACGCTCTTATCCAGAGCGACTTACAGTTAGTGAATACATATTTTTTTTTTTATACTGGCCCCCCGTGGGAATCAAACCCACAACCCTGGCGTTGCAAACGCCATGCTCTATCAACTGAGCTACATCCCTGCCGACCATTCCCTCCCCTACCCTGGACGACGCTGGGCCAATTGTGCGCCGCCCATGAGTCTCCCGGTCGCGGCCGGCGGCGACAGAGCCTGGATTCGAACCAGGATCCGAACCAGGATCTCTAGTGGCACAGTTCGCACTGCAATGCAGTGCCTTAGACCACTGCGCCACTCAGGAGTGTTAACAATTGAACAGTTTGTATAATTCTATCCCTCTCTGTCCAAAGAAAATTAGATTAATGGTTTCTGTTCCATTAGAATTTGTAGTCAGAGCAAATGAATAAATTTAACAAATAGTTTGGTTGCAGCTGCATGCTTTCTTCCTCTGGTCAGGGGCTGGGGTAGTCATGGAGAGCAGGACCATGTTGTGCAGCAGTAGAGAGGTCTCTGATTCTAGAAAGCACAGAGAAGAGGACGCAGCATAAGACAAGAATAATGCATACTATCTGAGATTCATGAGCATGACTGACAAGTGACACAATTGGAAATGAATTAATTAACATCCATGTCAAATTCAATAATTTACATTTTTACAGCTTGCCAGGCCGTAGCCCCAGCTGTGGAAGTATACGGTGTCAGTTATACTTCTAAATATCAATTATGTAGGAGTAGTTATCACTATTAAATAAAAACAATATTAACAAATAAAGTATATTTTCAGGTGTTATTTGTCTGATATTGAGAAATTACATGGCTACATTCTGGTATAGACTACTTCAAAGCATTCAACACCATTGTAACTACCCAAAATAATGTGCTAGTATAATAATGCTCTTTAAATGAATCCCCTAGAAGAGAGAGTGTAATAATTATGTAATTACAGTATAATAACTATTTACCATGTCATTTTGAGTAAATACCACATCAATAGCATAATGCTGTATAAAATGTGCACTATGAAAGTCAGGATGTGTTATGATAAAAACAGTGTACAGAGCCAAATGGCATTGTGAACCAAGCCCTGATAAATATGACATCAAGCAATCCCATGTGAATAAAATAGACCTGGGTTCAAATATAATTTGAAGTCTTTCAAACATTTTAGTGTTTCCTTCAGCCAGCCTTGAGTGCCAGTGGGGCGGGGTTTGCACTTTATCAAATATGCCTGTAAGTAAAACAGGTCAGACCTGTAAGGTGGGTGGACAACTGAAGCCACTGGAGGAGCCACTCTCGGCACTGGCTAGTGGTGAGGCTGCTGGGATTGAGCCGCCACAGGTAGCAGGCCTGGGGAAGTGGAGAAGTAGTACATCACTTACATTTTACATTTACATTTGAGTCATTTAGCAGACGCTCTTATCCAGAGTGACTTACAGTTAGTGAGTGCAGACATTTTTCATACTTAAGATAAGATGAAGAAATTGCATCATAAAAAAACTCCTTAAAAGGACATAAAAGCCAGTCTTGCTATTCTGTTACGAGAGTTCTGTCTTACCGAAGATTATAATGTATGTTTATTTTTTGTGCATTACCAAACACTGAGCATCAGCTAGAAGTGCCTATGGCTAGCTTTTTAAGAACATGGAGTTACACCTGAGTTGTGAGTTTGCTTCATGCTTGGGCCACACCTACTGAATATACAGTGGGGGAAAAAAGTATTTAGTCAGCCACCAATTGTGCAAGTTCTCCCACTTAAAAAGATGAGAGAGGCCTGTAATTTTCATCATAGATAGGTACACATCAACTATGACAGACAAATTGAGAAAAAAAATACAGAAAATCACATTGTAGGATTTTTAATGAATTTATTTGCAAATTATGGTGGAAAATAAGTATTTGGTCAGACCACTGATAATCTCCCTCGATCTGGGGCTCCACGCAAGATCTCACCCCGTGGGGTCAAAATGATCACAAGAACGGTGAGCAAAAATCCCAGAACCACACGGGGGGACCTAGTGAATGACCTGCAGAGAGCTGGGACCAAAGTAACAAAGCCTACCATCAGTAACACACTACGCCGCCAGGGACTCAAATCCTGCAGTGCCAGACGTGTCCCCCTGCTTAAGCCAGTACATGTCCAGGCCCGTCTGAAGTTTGCTAGAGTTCATTTGGATGATCCAGAAGAGGATTGGGAGAATGTCATATGGTCAGATGAAACCAAAATAGAACTTTTTGGTAAAAACTCAACTCGTCATGTTTGGAGGACAAAGAATGCTGAGTTGCATCCAAAGAACACCATACCTACTGTGAAGCATGGGGGTGGAAACATCATGCTTTGGGGCTGTTTTTCTGCAAAGGGACCAGGACGACTGATCCGTGTAAAGGAAAGAATGAATGGGGCCATGTATCGTGAGATTTTGAGTGAAAACCTCCTTCCATCAGCAAGGGCATTGAAGATGAAACGTGGCTGGGTCTTTCAGCATGACAATGATCCCAAACACACCGCCCGGGCAACGAAGGAGTGGCTTCGTAAGAAGCATTTCAAGGTCCTGGAGTGGCCTAGCCAGTCTCCAGATCTCAACCCCATAGAAAATCTTTGGAGGGAGTTGAAAGTCCGTGTTGCCCAGCGACAGCCCCAAAACATCACTGCTCTTGAGGAGATCTGCATGGAGGAATGGGCCAAAATACCAGCAAGTCTGTGAAAACCTTGTGAAGACTTACAGAAAACGTTTGACCTGTGTCATTGCCAACAAAGGGTATATCACAAAGTATTGAGAAACTTTTGTTATTGACCAAATACTTATGTTCCATCATAATTTGCAAATAAATTCATAAAAAATTCTACAATGTGATTTTCTTGATTTTTTTCCTCATTTTGTCTGTCATAGTTGACGTGTACCTATGATGAAAATTACAGACCTCTCTCATCTTTTTAAGTGGGAGAACTTGCACAATTGGTGGCTGACTAAATACTTTTTTCCCCCACTGTATCTTCTTTAGGAAAACAGCCCTAATGTTGGAAACAAACATCATTATGTTGTCATCCAGAGTCACATTTATTTATTTTCCAAGCTAAAGCACACAATATTTTACATACAGCAGGTTTTTAAAGGACCAAAGAGATTAGTCTGCTTCATGTTCTGTCTATCTCCTCATTTGAATTCCATGCTGTCACAGTCACTAGCCCATTCAAGCTTAACATCCTTGTCATTTATCGCCCTCCAGGTTCCCTTGGGAAGTTCATCAATGAGCTTGACGCCTTGATGAGTTCCTTTCCTGAGGATGGCTCACCCCTCACAGTTCTGGCTGACTTTAACCTCCCTACGTCTGCCTTTGACTAATTTCTCTCTGCCTCCTTCTTTCCACTCCTTTCCTCTTTTGACCTCACCCTCTCACCGTCCCTCCCTACTCACAAGGCAGGCAATACGCTTGACCTCATCTTTACTAGATGCTGTTCTTCTACTAATCTCACTGTAACTCCCCTCCAAGTCTCCGACCACTACTTTTTATCCTTTTCTCTCTCGCTCTCCTCCAACACTACTCACTCTGCCCCTACTCAGTTGGTAATGTGCCGTCGCAACCTTCGCTCTCTCTCTCCCGCTACTCTCTCCTCTTCCATCCTATCATCTCTTCCCTCTGCTAAATCCTTCTCCCTCCGATCTCCTGATTCGGCCTCAACCCTCCTCTCCTCCCTTTCTGCATCTTTTGACTCTCTATGTCCCCTATCCTCCCGGCCGGCTCGGTCCTCCCCTCCTGCTCCGTGGCTTGATGACTCATTGCGTGCTCACAGAAGAGGGCTCCGGGCAGGCGAGCGGAAATGGAGGAAAACTAGACTCACTGCGGACCTGTCATCTTTTCACTCCCTTCTCTCTACATTCTCTTCCTCTGTTTCCGCTGCTAAAGCCACTTTCTACCACTCTGAATTTCAAGCCTCTGCCTCTAACCCTAGGAAGCTCTTTGTCACCTTCTACTCCCTGCTGAATACTCCTCCTCCTATCCCTCCCTCCTCCCTCTCTGTGGATGACTTCGTCAAACATTTTGAAAAGAAGGTAGACGACATCCGATCCTCATTTATTAAGTCAAATGACACCGCTGGTCCTGCTCACACTGCCCTACCCTATGCTTTGACTTCTTTCTCCTCTCTCTCTCCAGATGAAATCTTGCCACTTGTGACGGCCGGCCACCCAATAACCTGCCCGCTTGACCCTATCCCCTCCTCTCTTCTCCAGACCATTTCCGGAGACCTTCTCCCTTACCTCACCTCGCTCATCAACTCATCCTTGACCGCTGGCCATGTCCCTTCCATCTTCAAGAGAGCGAGAGTTGCACCCCTCCTCAAAAAACCTACCCTCGATCCCTCCGATGTCAACAACTACAGACCAGTATCCCTTCATTCTTTTCTCTCCAAATCTCTTGAGCGTGCCGTCTCTAGCCAACTCTCCTGCTATCTCTCTCCGAATGACCTTCTTGATCCAAACCAGTCAGGTTTCAAGACTGGTCATTCAACTGAGACTGCTCTTCTCTGTGTCTTGGAGGCTCTCCGCACTGCTAAAGCTAACTCTCTCTCCTCTGCTCTTATCCTTCTAGACCTATCTGCTGCCTTTGATACTGTGGACCATCAGATCCTCCTCTCCACCCTCTCCGAGTTGGGCATCTCCGGCGCTGCTCACTCTTGGATTGCGTCCTACCTGACAGGTCGCTCCTACCAGGTGGCGTGGCGAGAATCTGTCTGCGCACCACGTGCTCTCACCACTGGTGTCCCCCAGGGCTCAGTTCTAGGCCCTCTCCTAGTCACTTGGCTCTGTCATATCCTCACATGGTCTCTCCTATCATTGCTATGCAGACGACACACAATTCATTTTCTCCTTTGCCCCTTCTGATAACCAGGTGGCGAATCGCATCTCTGCATGTCTGGCAGACATATCAGTGTGGATGTCGGATCACCACCTCAAGCTGAACCTCGGCAAGACGGAGCTGCTCTTCCTCCCGGGGAAGGACTGCCCGCTCCATGATCTCGCAATCACGGTTGACAACTCCATTGAGTCCTCCTCCCAGAGTGCAAAGAACCTTGGCGTGACCCTGGACAACACCCTGTCGTTCTCCGCCAACATCAAAGCGGTGACCTGATCCTGCAGGTTCATGCTCTACAACATTCTCAGAGTACGACCCTACCTTACACAGCTAGCGGCACAGGTCCTAAGCCAGGCACTTGTCATCTCCCGTCTGGATTACTGCAACTCGCTGTTGGCTGGGCTCCCTGCCTGTGCCATTAAACCCCTACAACTTATCCAGAACGCTGCAGCCCGTCTGGTGTTCAACCTTCCCAAGTTCTCTCATGTCACCCCGCTCCTCCGCACACTCCACTGGATTCCAGTTGAGGCTCGCATCTACTACAAGACCATGGTGCTTGCCTACGGAACTGCTCTGGCACCCCAATGGTGGAATACCTGGAATAGTATAAAGTAATCCTTCTACCCCCTTCCCCACCCCCCACAAGGCTATCATAAATTGAATGCACCAATTTGTAAGTCGCTCTGGATAAGAGCGTCTGCTAAATGATGTAAATGTAATGTTTTCATTTTTGCCATGAAAAAAATATTGCGATACTGGTATAATCCCGGACCTACTATAAATGGCAGTCTTGAGATGGGATTATATTGGTGGGGAAGCTGACCTCTCTGATCTCTGTGTCAGTGAGCTGGCCCTGTCCTAGTGTGTCCAGAGCCTGATCCAAGTAAAACAGGTCCAGGGCTTTGGCCCTCAGTCGGCGCAAGAGCACGAACCCCGTGAACCAGGGGTTCAGCAAGAGGTGGGAGCACAGCAGCCTCAGAGTGGGAACAAGGGAATTAGAGGAGGACAGGAGAGAGAGGGAGAAGATAGGAAGGGGGTAAGGAAGGGAGGGAGTGTGGGGGAAAAGAGAGAGTAGGAAAGAAAGGGAGGTGGCGAGACAAAGAGAAAGATTGAGAAAGACACCAGTCAGATGAGTTATCCATGTGAATTGAATCCCCAAACAAATCACTAAGTCAAAAAAACATGAAGCAGATGTTTTGGTCTTATGTTTCACACAGACAAAACAAAACAATGTCTATACAGGTATGACCCTTTGACTCTCAACCTCCCAGTCTGCTCTCTCCTTCAAGTTTCAAAGAAAACAGAATTGCATAACAAAACGAAATGCTCTTTACAAGCAGAGGACCGCTCTGTAATATACACCTAAAATCCTTACCATGTGACCCGAAGCCATGCCTGATATTCCCAGTGGTTGTCCGGAGAACATGCACCTCACTGCATTGATGTCTTTCACACTGGGGTGAGCCCCACGCTGCACAACAAACATTTGAATCAACCCTCGCATTCTGCAGACACACCCCAACTGGACCAGGCAGGACAGGTTAAACTGCATTCTCCAGACACACACAAAAATCTTTCATAACAGAAAAGGCCTCAACCAACCCCTGGTGTGGGAAGTCAACACACTATATTATCAGCATGATATGGGTGTGGACCTTTCCCTTTATTCATTAACACACAGTTTCTCACTGAACATCTATGTAATGATAATTAGTAAATGCAGAATTGCAATGCCGGGATCATCCTCAGATGTACGGTAAGAGAACTGTTCTATCAACATGCACTGACAGTCTTTGGCTATTCATTTCAAAATGGTGATGAATCATTACCTATATGTCTAAAACATAATAAATGCATGGCATCTCTCTGAAATGTCACTGTTTAATTAATAAACATGCTCAGAGTTCAAAGGGCTAAGTGAGGAACCTTGCTGATGAGGGTGAGCAGGTGGCTGCGGAGGGTCCACTCTTTTATGTGAGCTATCGACCAGGCCACGCCCTTCAGGATGTTCTCACGGTGTCGGCATCGCTGCTCGTGGTACAGCCTCTGGAAGTCCTGCTGCTGCTGCGGAGTCCACAGGTGATGAATCAGGAGCTGCCGAGGGAACAGGCACCTACCAATGAGAGGAGAGGACACATATCAGATTAGAGGTAAACCATCATTTACCATTCATTCAATAACCCAACAAAACTTGGCATTTTGAAAGCATGCATGACTACCCTACAAATGACTACATTTGCACTCTTTTAAAATCAGTCTCTCTGGTGATTTATATTGTCAATATCAGGCTGGTTGATACAAAACAACTCACATAAGGCTGAAGACCAGAAAAATGACAAAAGGCAGGATACAGATTATCACCAGGTGTTATGGGTTTCTAGGGTATCAAGTGATTATGAATATAAGGATGTACTTAGACATTTTTGATGGGGAGTTCATACAATATATTTAATATGGTAACATGGATAGTTATAACACAAGGACAGAGCTTTGCCTCTACCAACTTCCTAACTCCAGAACAAAGATCCACTCTCTCTATATATACACTCTGTTACAAGTCTCTCCACGAACATCTGGTAATTATCATGGGGTAAGGGAAAGCATAGGCCTAATGGACAAAAATGAATGGCAATTTATTGCCATTGGGCAAAACATATACACAATTGCAAATACCACTCAAATGGACGGTAAATGGGGCAAAACATATTGCAAATGGTATATGGCAAATGCCAGTGTAATAATTCAAAAATCCTAAGGGGGGTGAGCGCACACCACCATCAGAAAGTATATTGCAAATGGACAACAAAGTCAAATCTCAAGGGTGAAATTACCAATTACAGAAAGTGCGTTTTGGACCGTGTTTTGAAAAAAATTCAATTTTGTCTCAATTATACATTACTAAAGACCCGTATGGATATAGATTTGTCTTATTTTATGCGAGAGGTCCTCTTGCTCAGTTGTGCACCGGGGCCTCCCACTCCTCTTTCTATTCTGGTTAGAGCCAGTTTGCGCTGTTCTGTGAAGGGAGTAGTACACAGCGTTGTATGAGATCTTTAGTTTCTTGGCACTTTCTCACATGGAGTAGCCTTAATTTCTCAGAACAAGAATAGACTGACGAGTTTCAGAAGACAGTTCTTTGTTTCTGGCCATTTGGAGCCTACCATCGAACCCACAATTGCTGATTGTGGTGCTCGAGATACTCAACTAGTCTCAAGAAGGCCAGTTTTATTGCTTCTTTAATTAGCACAACAGTTTTCAGCTGTGCTAACATAATTGCAAAAGGGTTTTCTAATGATCAATTAGCCTTTTAAAATGATCAACTTGGATTAGCCAACAACGTGCCATTGGAACACAGGACTGATGGTTGCTGATAATGGGCCTCTGTACGCCTATGTAGATATTCCATTAAAAACCAGCCGTTTACAGCTACAATAGCCATTTACAACATTAACAATGTCTATACTGTATTTCTGATCAATTTGATGTTATTTTAATTGACAAAAAAATTGCTTTTCTTTCGAAAACAAGGACATTTCTAAGTGACCCCAAACTTTTGAATGGTAGTGTACATTGGCAATGGACACTGTCCAATTGCAGTATAACATGTTAAGACTGGCATGTATTATGTGTAATCGACTGTCCAATTAGCAGAGTAATTTATTGCCAATGGAGAAAAAGTATGAGTCAAACAGACATAGTGTTTCCTCTCCTACACTCTTGGGTGTTAATTTCAGCCTGTCCATTTGGTGATGGTAAATCACTGCTTAAATATATTAGAAATGGACAGTGTCCATCATAACATGTTAAGACTGGCAATGTATTATGTGTAATGGACACTGTCCATTAGCAATATATTACAATAGGCATTTACCATCACGAATTGGACATGCTGTTACATTGCTGAAATGCCCAATTGTCTGGCTCGTTGAACTCGGGATGGTCTAGCAGTGATAGTGGTTCCTCTCCCTCGCTCGTTGGTGTTGATTTCAGCCTGTCCATTTGGTGATGGTAAATCATTGCTTAAACATATTGGAAATGGACAGTGTCCATTAGCAATATATTACAATGGGCATTTACCATCACGAATTGGACATGCAGTTAAAGGGTTTAAACTAATAAAGTCCCTACTGAGACACTCTACTGTACAAATACAATTCAAATGTGCTGTCCTTTGATTGTTTATGATGATTTTAAGCAATGAGATGGCTGACTTGATTGCTGTCCAATTGCAATATGTTACAATGGCATTTGCCATTTGATATATTACAAGTTCATACTTTCCGTTTAGGATATGAAGGGGACCATGTACTCTATTCATATTGATATCTCTTGAGCTACCGGTGACCCTGAACACATGGCAAAAGGCACTTTGCAAATTGCATGCACAGAAGCAAAGTTAGAGCATAACCTGTAATCCAATGTTATCCTAAGGGAACAACTCGGATGGGTCAAACTACATGAACTGCCGAGCGCAGCTCGAAGAACTGTGTGAATTGTCCACCCCAACCTCCCCCCGATGACCCCAGCGTGTCTCTTTGTGACACAGAGGCCGTAATATGTGAAAAGCATGTTGAAATCACTACGAGTCAGGCTTAATTTTTTGCACAGTCGCTACGGTCAGACCGAGCAAGCTACGGTCAAGTGGGTCACCTCGTTGAACTGAGAACAGCCTAGAGACTATAGTGATGCCGTTTGTTTGCCGTTCAGTGATGATTTTATCCTGTCCATTTGGTGATGGTAACTCCCTGTTTAAACAAATGGGTAATGGACACTGTCCATTAGCAATATAACATATGGACAATGCCAATATATTATACTGCAATTGGACAGTCAGCCATCAAGTCAGCCATCAGTCAGTAAGATATCATACTGACACCAAACTCACTTTGTCCAACCCGTTTAGAAGCCAACCATCACATATGTCAGAGCCGGCCCAAAATTCATAGCGCCTTCTGTTAAAACCATTACAAAACGTAAAACACGCAGTTACATTCGAGCTGCGGGTCCAGTTCATTATGTGCAGGCCTAGCTGAGGCGAACCTGAATTCCAGTTTCGGCTTGATAGTTCATTCGGAACCCGAGCAGCGACCTTAATTAGTGCTGAAAATGCACTTATTTCAGCGGTTGCTACGGGGTCCCTGAACGAGCTATCGGGCAGAAACGTGTAGGGTCCATTTCTATGGGCCGAGGCGGTTTCAATGCACCTAGTCTTGTGATTCTGGGACTTTTCTAAATGTCATCATTTTTGTGATGTTAAAAATGAATTAAATATATTGCAAATGGACAAGGCTGTTTCTCGGCCGGAGAACCTCCTAGAGCCACATAACTCACTGTGCAGTACCGACAAACTCTAGAACAGGTTTTTAAAGTTCCAGAGATCTAGGTCTGACGGTTCTTTGATGGTTCGAACGCAGGTAACTATTGCAGGCTCTGTGCGTCTGTAAGCCCCACACTGTGTCACTCCATCTTGGCTGTGTGTGTGAGTTTCTCGGAAGTCTGTTGGGCAGTGTGAGCACTTGTCAGGCTAGAGCATGTCTCTATGGGTGCTGTCTCTGTGTCCTGGGCTTATGGGGTGGTTCTTTGGGTCTCAAAATAATACTTGAAGTACACGGGGCTGTCCATTTGTAATATGAAAATGCACTTAACTTCACAGAAATCAACTAGAGCTCAACACGCCTCAACTGTATCTATAACTTTTTTCTACCCCCAAAAACATTTTTGCATCACGAATTGGACGTTGTACGATTAATCGTAAACTACGATAGCTAAATGGCTGGTTCTATTTTTCCTTACACCGTAGGTTTATGTACTTTGATGTGCAGCAGTAAAATTAGCGCTGTATTACCGTTTTTGACCTTTAATATATAAAAAATAATATAAATAAAAAAATATATATTTTGCATCTTCAAAGTGGTAGGCATGTTGTGTAAATGAAATGATACAACCCCGGCAACAAATCTATTTTAATTCCAGGTTGTAAGGCAACAAAATAGGAAAAATGCGAAGGGGTGTGAATACTTTCGCAAGCCACTGTATTTATATCTCGGAAACCGAGTGTCCTGGAAACTTTATTTTTGTGACTTCCCGGAAGAACGGGCCTTGGCGCTCGACCTGAGGCCGTCGGCCTACCCACGGACGTCTAGTAAGGGGCCGTCCATTTTCCATATGAGTGTAGTCCCGTGTAGCTCAGTTGGTAGAGCATGACGCTTGCAACGCCAGGGTTGTGGGTTCAATTCCCACGGGGGGGCCAGTATGAAAAATGTATGCACTAACTGTAAGTCGCTCTGGATAAGAGCGTCTGCTAAATGACTAAAATGTAAAAAAATGTAAGAATGCTGTTCATATGACTACCCTACAAATGACAAAATGTGCACTCTTTTAAAATCAGTCTCTCTGGTGATTTATATTGTCAATATCAGGCTGGTTGATTCAAAACAACTCACATAAGGGTGAAGACCAGAATAATGGCAAAAGGCGGGATAGAGATTATCACCAGAGGAATGGCTTTGATCAAGTCTTTGTGAAACTGTGGAAAAAAGAGAGAGAAAGAGGTACAGAGAGAGAGCGTTATGTTTGCATATTTTATCAGGTGCTCTGCTGTAGAGTTTGAATAGGGTGGTCATAAACTGGCTCCACAATGTGTCTGCTTCACATAATGTACAGTACCAATCAAATGTTTGGACACACCTACTCATTCAAAGGTTTTTCTTTATTTTTACTATTTTCTACATTGTAGAATAATAGTGAAGACATCAAAACTATGAAATAACACATATGGAATCATGTAGTAACCCAAAAAGTGTTAAACAAATCAACATATATTTTATATTTATGATTCTTCAAAGTAGCCACCCTTTGCCTTGATGACAGCTTTGCAAACTCTTGGCATTCTCTCAACCAGCTTCATGAGGTAGTCACCTGGAATGCATTCCAATTAACAGGTGTGGCTTGTTAAAAGTTAATTTGTGAAATTTATTTCCTTCTTAATGCATTTGAGCCAATCAGTTGTGTTGTGACAAGGTAGGGGTGGTATACAGAAGATATCCCTACATCTCAACATCAACTGTTCAGAGGAGATTGTGTGAATCAGGCCCTCATGGTCGCATTGCTGCAAAGAAACCACTACTAAAGGACACCAATATGAAGAACAGACTTGCTTGGGCCAAGAAACACGAACAATGGACATTAAACCAGTGGAAATCTGTCGTTTGGTCTGAGGAGTCCAAATTTGAGATTTTTGGTTCCATCCGCCGTGTCTTTGTGAGACGCAGAGTAGGTGAACGGATGATCTTTGCATGTGTGGTTCCCACCGTGAAGCATGGAGGAGGTGTGATGGTGCTTTGCTGGTGACACTGTCTGATTTATTTAGAATTGAAGGCACAGTTAACCAGCATGGCTACCACAGCATTCTGCAGCGATACGCCATCCCATCTGGTTTGGGCTTAGTGGGACTATCATTTGTTTTTCAACAGGACAATGACCCAACACACCTCCAGGCTGTGTAAGGGTTATTTGACCAAGAAGGAGAGTGATGGAGTGCTGTATCAGATGATCTGGCCTCCCCAATCACCCGACCTCAACCCAATTGAGATGGTTTGGGATGAGTTGGACCGGAGAGTGAAGGAAAAGCAGCCAACAAGTGCTCAGCATATGTGGGAACTCCTTCAAGATTGTTGGAAAAGCATTCCAGGTGAAGCTGGTTGAGAGAATGCCAAGAGTGTGCAAAGCTGTCATCAAGGCAAAGGGTGGCTACTTTGAAGAACAAATTTTTTTTAAACAATTTTTTGGTTACTACATGATACATTAAATGTGTTATTTCATAGTTTTGATGTCTTCACTATTATTCTACAATGTAGAAAATACTAAAAATAAAGAAAAACCTTGCATGAGTAGGTGTGTCCAAACTTTTTGACTGGTAATGTATGGGTGCATCCCAAATGGCACCCTATTCCCTATTTAGTTCACTACTTTTGACCATACAAAATGTTTGGCTGCCAGGGTGGAAGTGTGACTCACTGACCAGAATGATGGTCTCCATCTCGCGGTAGGGCAGGTCTTTGAGTGAAACATCTTGAGTGAGCATTTTCATCCTTATCTTCCTTGTTTCCCTCACATCGTGTACCATTAGCCAAAATCCTACAACACAAAAACACCTAATTGCAAAACTAGTTAAAATGCTTCATGGTATTGCCTCAAAGAAAGACAACACAAATACACTTAATACAATATAGCGGGATAAGTGCTATCCAAATCCAACAGGAAAATGTTACAGCTGTAGACTGGCTTTGGAGAAGTTGCACCAGGATTTGTAATAGAAAACGTATTTATCGGGGGTGCAAGACCTATTTTTACTTCAGCACCATCTAGCGCCTCCCTGGAGCTGCCCATGAGAAGTAGACAGTTAGGCATTAGAGGGTGTTGTTGTGGTTAGGGGGTACTTACCTTTCACAAAGGTGGTGTAAAGGATGTAGAGGCGGGGGAATCGGTGCTCGAGGAATTTCTCATACCTCTCGTTGGCTCTCTGAAATATGCCTAGTCTGCCCTTAGATGACGAATAGTGCCTGCGGGATAATATGCTGTAGAAGAGAGGGGATATCAGATTCAGCAACACAAAAACATTAGATTTAGCTTGTTTCATTGTATTTTTGTATGTATCTCAGTTAATGTTTTGTAGTTGCATGTGGTAGCTCTTATTGTAACTAGGATCTGTCATGGGCAATTTTGAATGTTTACAGAATAACATGCAGTATTGCTCATGACAGATTATTGTTACAATCGGAGCTAGGAGACAGGGAGAGAGTTTAGGTTGGGACACCACAGAAGCCTTCAGAGTTAATTGAACAGGTTTCTATATAGGCCGAAAACAAATGGAGACAGTTAATCCCAATAACCTCTGGATGCAGCATTTGTGCAATCACTTTTGATAGCCTACTGTGACTTAGCCTACTGTCCCCTAAGCAAGGTAAGAACATGAACACTTTGAATGTGGTGTTATGTTGTGAAACATGATTACTTTGCTGACATATACACTCACCTAACAGTTTATTAGGTACACCGCCCCGTTCATGAAATTTTTGATCACTCCTACAAAGTGAGTCACGTAACTGTGGCTTGCTATATAAAGCAGACAGACAGGCATCGAGGCATCCAGTTACTTTTCGATTGAACGTTTCGAATAGGCAAAACAAGTGACCTAAGCTACTTTGAACGTGGTAAGATCATCAGTGCGGCTTTTCACGCAGGAGTGTCTAGGGTTTACTGAGAATGGTAAAAAAATAAAAATGAAAAAATACAGTCAGCGGCAGTCCTGTGGGTGAAAACAGCTCGTTGAGAGGTCCAAGGAGAATAACAAGAATCGTGCAAGCTAACAGGTGGGCCACAAACATACAAATAACGGCGCAGTACAACAGTGGTGTGCAGAACGGCATCTCAGAACGCACAACTTGTCGATTGTCACGGATGGGCTATTGCAGCAGACGACCACACTAGGTTCCACTCCTATCAGCTAACAACAAGAAGTGACTCCAGTGGGCACGCGATCACCAACACTGGACAATTGAGGAGTGGAAAAACATTGTCTGGTCCGACGAATCCCAGTTCCTGTTGAGTCAGGATTTGGCGTAAGCAGCATCAGTCCATGGACCCATCCTGCCTGGTGTCAACGGTACAGGCTGATGTAGTGGTGTGGGGAATGTTTTCCTGGCACATGTTAGGTCCCTTGATACCAACTGAGCAACGATTGAATGCCACTGCGTATATGCCAAACCCAATAGAGCATCTTTGGGATGAGATGGAATGGGCTGTTCGCAGCATGAATGTCCCGCCATCAAGTCAGCATTGACCAACATCCTGTGGAACGTTTCCGACACCTTGTAGAATCCATGCCCCGAAGAATTCAGACTGTTCTTGAGGCAAAGGGGGATCCGACCCGATACTAAATGGGTGTACCTAATAAACTGGCCGGTGACTGTATGTGATCTTTGTTCTCTCGAGTGCACCCGACCACGACATAAATGGCCTGTATCACAAAATGTTCTGGGATGCAAAGTAACGTTACAGGAAGCAAATGTATTTTCTTTCATTGAAAGGGTTTTAGATTAGAGTAGGCAGCATGCCAATTATACATTTTTTATTTCGTGCTTGCAACATGAGAATGACTGAACCAGTAGTATCTGGACAAAGGAGGAGACGATTAATATGACTAGTCCCCTCTCTAGCCCAGAAAGCTACCATACATTTTCCCACTAGACAGCTCTGTATGCGTTATAATATCAAAATACATTCGTTACACACCAAATATGGAATTTTGCTGAACTGCTTTTGTCGGTCATTCAGTCCTTCTTGGGCTAGTCATCCTCTGAAGCAGTACCTGGACAGAGGAAGAGATTATGAATATGTAGCCTAGGCAGCGGATAGTTAGTGCAGATCTAGCGCCAGCACTATCGGCTGCCTAGGATAATGAATATGACGAGTCCCCTCTCTAGCTCAGAAGCTACCATATATATTTTTGCCATTAGACAGCAAGCACTGCAATCGTTATGTCAAAATACGTTCGTTACTCACCAAATATGGAGTTTCGCTGAGCAACGATCGTAATTTACTGCCGTCCAGCCCGGTATGTACTTCCAATAAAAAGGTCAAAATAAAAATGTACAAGCAACCGAAACATTTATTGTCTGGAAAGAAACTATTGTTTTTGAACAAGTGCACATACGTGAAATCCACTACTGCCACGCGCAGAATAGGTAGATTTGGCGCATGCGCACTTGGTCAAAAACAATTATTTCCAGACAATATATTTTTTCGGTTGCTTGTAAACTTTTATTTAAAACTTTTTTGGAAGTACATACCGGGCTGGACGGCAGTAAATTACGATAGTTGCTCAGCGAAACTCCATATTTGGTGAGTAACGAACGTATTTTGACATAACGCATGCAGTGCTGTCTAATGGCAAAATATATATGGTAGCTTCTGGGCTAGGGATGGGACTCATCATATTCATTTGCCTAGGCAGCCGATAGTGCAGGTCTAGCGCCCATGCACTAACTATCCGCTGCCTAGGCTACATATTCATCGTCTCCTCCTCTGCCCAGATACTGGTTCAGAGGATGACTAGCCCTAGGTGTACCTAATGAATGACCGACAAAGCATTTCGAGTAGGCTACTAGCCATCTTTCAATAATATTCAGATAATGTTCGAGTTATTCAGTACCTTAGACTTGAGTAGGCTAACATTGGGGTGTATGTGGAGACCCATTTGAATGGATAACTGCATCGTATTATCGTTGTTACACAGCATTGGACCTTTCTCTTGTACAGCGCCATGGTGGGATTTGCAGGGTGAGTTAATGAAACTGTTGCCGTGCGTGCAAGTGCAAGAGACCAGGGATCAAATACCACTTCCATTGGCTGGAACGATTACCATAATGTGTGTAATAGTTTATATAGTTGTGTATACTACACTCAGAAATCTTAATAATATTGTAATGACCTGACTAGATCATAAAAGAACAACTGTCCAGACAGAGGATTGAGTTTACGAATGGACGGTTTATTAAACCAACTTTACACAGGCTACTGTTTGGCCGTAGCCCACGCCAAATAAATGAAAGATAACCCACAAGCCAATCGTGACCTTCTCTTGTGAAGCCCAGACGTAAAAAGAGAGAGAACAAAAGCTAAACCTGGTCTTAACTTCCAATGCTCCATCCCCCTGCCCAACCCCCCTCCACGCCACTCCGCCAACCGCCAGGATGCCCGGCATCAGAACATTCCAGGCATTCCCGTGATTGGCAGATAGCAGGTTGATTGACATGTCGGACCCCGCGAACACTGGGTACTGGTAGGTACAACACAACCATCTACTAGCCTAACACATAACACACAGCTGTCTGTGCGGGTCGCTACACAGCCCCCCCACCACAAAGTCCCTCGTCCCCGAGGGAACAAACAAAGTCTCTGAAGCGACCCGGAGGTCTCCTTTGCCTGCGTGGCTGTGATGGCCGCAGAGTGCCCCTCTGGGAACCAGGGGATGAAGGCAAGGACATGGGGGACAAGGAAGCGGGAACGGGTAATACAGTCTGTGGCTCTGGGGAACCACGCGGTGACACAGGGGGAGTGGGCTGTCTGGAGCCTTGTCTGCGGCACCTGGGGGTGGGTGCCTGGAGAATGTCATTGCCAGAGAGGGGAATTGTGGGGGTTCCTGGGGTTTGGGGAGAAGAGGCCCCTCTATATGGGGCTAACCTGTCCCGGTGCAGTGTCACCTTTCTCCCCCTGGGAGGAAGCTGCACCCGGTAAACAACCTCCCCTACCCTCTCCAGGACACTGCAGGGTCCCACCCAGTGACTGTCCAACTTGGGGCATCTGCCTTTTTTCCTTAGCGGGCTGTAGACCCAGACCAGCTCCCCAGCCACAAAGTGCCTTCCCCGGGTGTGCACGTCATAGTTCCTCTTCTGCCTCACACCTGCATTCAGCAGCTGCTCTCTGGCGAAGGTGTGGGCTGGTCTCCAGGCGGTCCTGGAGTCTCCGGGCATACTCCGGCCCCGGGGAAACATGAGGGCTATCCAGGGGCCGACCCAAACGCCATCTCCGCAGGGGTACGGATCTCTCTCCCCAGCATGAGGAGGGCAGGCGTGCAGGAGGTGGAGTCTTGGACAGCGGAGCGGCATGCCATGAGGACCATAGGCAGGTGCTTGTCCCAGTCACGCTGGTGTTTGGAAGAGACGATGGCCAGCTGCTGTCCAAGCGTTTTGTTGAAGCGCTCCACAAGGCCATCACTTTGAGGATGGAGAGGAGTAGTGCGGGTCTTGTTCATACCCAGCCTCTCACACATGGTGGCGAACACACGGGACTCAAAGTTTCTGCCTTGGTCGCTGTGGATGGACTCTGCAGCTCCAAACCTGCTGAACATCCCCGCTGTCAGGGCGTCGACGATGGTCTCTGCCTCCTGGTCAGGCAGAGCATAGGCCTCGGGCCACTTTGTGAAATAGTCCATGGCCGTGAGCACCCAGCGGTTTCCACTGTCTGTGGTGGGGAACGGCCCCAACTACATCCACTCCCACCCTCTCCATGGGAGCCCCCACT